TTCATTGCCAATCGCACGCTTGGCAAACGAGCACTGCCTGTGGTCAACGATACGACGCCGAATTATGATAAAGCGTATTTCCTCCACATCCCCAAGACGGGAGGGCATTCTTTCGACACCGATGGCAGAGAGATATTCCGAAGCATGAATCAGGGAGAGACGTGCTTTTCGGAAGTCGCATCTGAGACTTTGGTCACTTTCTTTAGGGATCCACAGCTGCACGTGGTGTCGCAGTATTGGCACTGTGTGGGAGCGGGATTCTCCGTCCCAGGCTTAGGGAAGTGGGCTAACGAATGGGCAAAGTTTATGAAGTCGGAGCCCTTACATAATATGACAGACAAGCACAGGAAGGAGCAGATGCGATATCCGTGCTTCAACCCCATCAACAAGCAGACCCAGAAAATGACATGTGTACAGCAAGATAGGTATCCAGATGTGATCGATGTGGACCTGGCGATTAGAAACATGAACAGCGTGCACTTTGTTGGCCTCCTCGAACTGTATCGAAGACGCCTACGGCGAATCACCGCCGTCCCCTGCCTTTTTGGAAGCGCCTATGTGGCCGAACGTTGAGGCCAGACCTGCCAAGCTATCGGACCACGTGTTCCCCGAATCGGTTTGGAAAGCCTTCGGGGAACACGTGGGCATCTTGAAGGTCATCTTGGCCGTCTTGGAGGCCTCTTGGGCAAGCTTTGGGCGATCTTTGGGGCTTTTTGGGCCGTCTCGGGCCAGCTTCGAGCCAACTTCGGCCATCTTGGTGGGTTCCTGGCACGTCTGAAGCCGTCGGAAGCCGTTTGGGGGGCCTCTATGGGCCGACTTGGGGCCCGCTTGGAATGCTCCAGGGCCGTCTTGGAGGCCATCTTGGGCGTCTTGGAGGCCATCTTGGGCGTGTTGGAGGCCTCTTGGGCCCTCTTGGGGCCCTCTAGGGGCCATCTTGGAGGCCACTTGGGCCATCATGGGGCTCTCTTGGGGGCCTCTTGGGCGATCTTGGGGGCTTCTTGGGCCGTCTTGAGCCGTCGGAGAGCCGAAAAGGCGCAAATGCCAAAATCCTTCAAAAACCAAGGGAAAATCAATGATTTTGGCCTCTTCGGACTCTCCTGGAGGACCTCTTGGAGGCCTCTTGGGCCGTCTGGGAGGCCTCTGGGGGGCCTCTTGGGCCGTCTTGGGCCGTCTTGGACTCTCTTGGGCCGTCTTGGAGGCCGTCTTGGACCATCTCGGGCGGACTTGGAGGCCATCTTGGGCCATCTTCGCGATTTTTTGAGGATGTCCCGAGCGATACGGCCGTTCTTGGAGGATTTTTTGCGGTCGTTGAGCACGTTTGGGGAAATTCCGGGTGGCCGGCGGGTTCTGCCGGAGCCCACTGTCGGGGGCGGAAAAGAGGGGGGTGATGACTAGGGGGGGGTGGATATCATGGCGCGGGCCATGATATTTCCCCAGATTTCATGGCGCCTCTTCTCGTTTCATTACGTCCCTGGCCCCCCCGCTGGGCCGCGCACATGCCGCCTGTCATGATTTGCACCCCCCCCTCTTGGACACCCCCCTCTTGGCCGCTCCCGACACTGGGAAGTTCTTTTGGAAAAAGAACCAAAACCAAAACCTGAAACGTCCAGCACGCCGTGCACCCCTGCAAGCAGGGGGCGGCGGATCCAGCTGCCTGCGGCAAACCCTGCCACCGTGCCAGCGCAGCATCGGGACATACTCCAGGTTGATATGCCGAATTGGGTTCTATTGTGGTTGCATGGGTCCCCACGGCGCTCTGGGGCCGTTCCGGGCGTGATGATGCTGAGGAGCTCCTTGAGGCATGTTCCGTCTGGGTGGCCGCCTCCTGGTGACCGCTTTGGGGGCGCCTCCTGGCGACCGCTTGGGGAACATCTTTGGATTCTGGTAGGACGAAGGAGCAAGGCTGACAGAAGCCATTAAAGAGAAGATTCGGTCATGTCTTGTGTGTATCGGGAGCCCCATGGAAAACCTCTTGCGTGGTGTGTTCGTTTGGTGCTTCCGCTTGGTGCTTCCGATTGGCCTCGTATAAGCTTCTTGGAGGTCTGTCCTTGGGAGTGTTGGGGCTGTATTGGGCTCTCTTGGGGCCGTCTGGAAGGGTCCCTGGGCAGTCTCAGAGCACTGTTGGATCGTCTCGGGAACGTCTTGACCCGTCTGGGGCAATGCCTTGAAGAGCGCTGACATGAGGCTGGGCATTTCTTCCGGGAAAAAATATCACGAGACAGTTCACGGACATTCTAAACCGCCCCAGCGTGCCAGCCGCATCGTGGCGGATCCAGAGTCTCTTTGTGTATTTCATGCCAAGACGTCTGGGAAGATGCCCAGCTCTTGCGATTGCCGGCGCCGGGACGAGGCTGGATTCTGGCACCACAATTTCGGATTCAATCATCACCGTTTGCCGAAAAATGAGTCGATTTTGAAGGATCTTGACGCGCTCACACAGGCTGACCGCGCGTTGTATGACGCTGCCTCGGCTCGTTTCATGCAGGACCTTCGAGAGGTGGAGATGCGGCACGGCGTGGAGATCTTGTGCATGCCCTAAGGACAAGACAGCGCACGTCCCGTGAAGATCATCGAAGCAGAAAGCATTGCATAACCATTAATTGTCAGAGCTCCGTGCGGATTTAATGGATCTGTGTTGGGATCCCTTTGCGGCGACTCCAGCGCCGCCCGTGGCGCGCTACGCGCACCAGGAAGGGGGTCCAGCGCCGATCCAATAAATTCGCGGGGGCCTCCGAAAGTTTGTACAATCGTTTTCGTGTTCTTCCTCTGTGTGCATCGCCCGCTTCCCATTCCTCAGCTGGTCTGTAGGGCGGTACTGATTTGCGTGAGGCGTAGGGCCATGGTGTGTCGGCCATCACCACACCACCCTCACAGTGGGGAATAGGCCCCGCAAGACCCTAAGGGAGCAGCATTTGTGATGTCCAGGGCTCCGCCCACCCCCAAAGCTAATGGGATCGCCCCCCCGCGCCCCGATAAAACACACAGACACAATGAATCGTCGATCCCCCGGAAAATGTAGGAAAATTGGGCAAGCGGGGGGGAAGACGAAAAGCCACGAAATATGAGAACATGCGGGGAATCCTGGGATTTGTGTCTATTGCTTTGTGTACCCTTGGGCCCCCTTCAATGATTGGGTGCGCCCCGGGGCCTCGCGGAAGGTCGTCGCGAAGGGCATCATCTTGTTCCTTTTGTTCTTCTTGCGCCTCTTCTTCCTCCTGCTCCTCCTCCTCCTTCTCCGCCTCCTCCTCCTCCTCCTGCTCCTCCTCCTCCTCCTCCTCCTCCTCCTCCTCCCCCCCCTTCCCTTCCTCCTCCTCCTCCTCCTCCTCCTCCTCCTCCTCCTCCTCCTCCTCCTGCCTCCTCCTCCTCCTCCTCCTCCTCGCCTACTCCTCCTCCTCTCCTCCTCCTCCTCCTCCTCCGCCTCCTCCTCTTCCTTGCCCCTCCTCCTCCTTGCCCCCCCCTGTGGGCGGGGCCCTGCGGGCGGGGCCTGGAGGCATGGTGGCGGTGCCCCCCCCCTCCCTTCCAGGGGCTCGTCCTCCTCCTCCTCCTCCTCCTCCTCCTCCTCCTCCTCCTCCTCCTCCTCCTCCTCCTCCAGCTGCCATGAGGGCTGATGAGAAGCTCAGGCAGCAACGGCACCCCGCTTCCCACAGAGCTGAGTTCGGGCGCACATGGCGTATCTCGGGCCGAAGGCGGCCTGAGGGCTCGAGACAACCGAGGAGAGAGGGAGGCGTACACGGGGGCCGACATGGTGCTAAAGATAGTGTGTTACAACGCCCAGAGCGCAGACTTCACGAGGATGGAGGAGATCAGCCTCCAATGCCGCAGCGTCGACATCATAGTTGTCACCAGCACGCAGCGCCACACGGACATAGAACATGACATGCAAGAGAACAACCTCCCTTTTCACAAGGTCCTCCAATTTGGTTGGAAAAAGTCGTCCTACGTCAACAAGTCATGTGGGGTGGCAGTACTACTCGGGAAGTATGTCAGCGGAGTACAATGTGCTGAAGCCCCACCGCGGTCACAAGGTATCACGGGAAGAGTGGCACGAGTCAAAGTACGAGCACATGGACAGCCAATTAGTGTATATCCAGTTTATTTTCCGCCTAAAGGAACGACACCGACACTTCTTAGAGAGACTGCAAAAGGAATGCTTCAATGGATTACTCAGAAGGTTGGCAAAGACGGCCATCACACGCTCCCAATCATCGCAGGTGGCTTCAATTGCGGGTTTGGTATTCGACGGGACGTTACGGGAGTTGCCTACATCAAAGAAGATGGTCACATTGGAGTCTGCGAGCCAGTGTACGAGAGCAACGTGTCCATGCAGATCCGACAGTTTGTGGCAGAACAGCACATGAGTGTAGCGACAACTCACTGGACGACGGGACCCACTTACTTCCAGAGAGGCGCTTCATCCAAGATCGATCATTTCATATGCCCCACATCGGCGCTTGCTAGCGTTCAGAAGGCGAACACGCTGATCCGTTTGGGGCGCAAACTTCAATTGCAGCCCAGCGCGACCCTCGAGGACCATGTTCCCGTTTATGTGAGAAGAAATACAGTGTGCACGCGCTCTCTCCGCCAGCTCACAGGGACCACCTGATGCAGGCTCAAACCACAGGGGCTCGCCGCCAGCAGTACTTCGAGGCGGTGATGAGGCACCTGGAGAACGATGGCGACAGCTACAAGACGGCAGTGTAGAACAATAACGTGCAGGCGGTGTGGGACCACATTGCAGGTGCGGTCAGGCGGGCTTTGGGAGAAGTATTTCCTCCTGGCCCACGTCGCACGGCAGAATGCGAGGAGTACAGGAGCCAGCGCAAGGACTTGATCAGACGCAGAGGCATGATGAGGGCCGAGGGAGCTGACAAGAATGAGGAGGAGTTCGAACGAGTCCAGCGACAACTATATCAGATCACGAGGCGCCTTCAGAATCTTCGGAAACAGCAGACGGCCGACACGCGACAAGCTCTACTCCACGAACTGGCGCAAGTGTGGAAGAACCAGCAGTGGGCGCAGATGCACAAGATCAAGAACAGCCTGACATCTACAGGCCGAGGGCCCAAGAAGCGCTACATCTTCGCAGCGCGGCAGAACATGACAGTAGAAGAATGGCGGGACGGACTCCAGCTACAACCACACCAGGGCGGCATGCAAGCGAACTCCATCAACTGGGACGACGCGCTCGACGACGTGCAGTTCCTTCCCAAAGTTCTCGAGCGGGACCGAGCCATCCAGCTCGCACAGGCCGACCTCGAGGGCCAGATCCGCTACCTCAAGAAGGCCCCCAAGCGCAGAGCAACCCCGGGGCGGGGAGCGTACGCGGAGGCGCTGCTGCAGTTGCTGTCTCCTGAGTACCACAGTGCTGAGGACCCCAACGGCAACGGCTGGGAGGTGGGCATCACGCCTACGGCATTTCTGCACAAGTATCAGCAGTTCGTCACACTTGTCAGAGAGAAAGATCAGGTTCCCCCCAGCTTCCTCCGCTCGCAGATGTTCGCCCAAAGCAAGGACAACGGGAAGATAGGCATCAAAGGACAACGGCTCCTGCACTGTTTCGACTCCTGCGGCGTGAGCTGGTCTGGCCAACTCGCGCGCAGGCTCAGGGCACCTCCGAAGTTTCCGCCTTTCGCTCACGGAGGCATAGCTGGTCGAAGGAGAGAGGGGGCCATTCTCGCCCTGAGCAGCGCGATGTGGTGCTGCAGAGATCTGAAGCTGAGTCACACGCTGAGCAACTTTGACGGCACGAACGCGTTCGCGAGCACGGACAGGGAGCATTTGAGAGCACAGCACAGCGCGCAGCACTACGAGCACAACATCGAACTGTGCAAGCACGCCATCGACGGTTTAGTTGTGCACGCCAACGGCATCGATGGCGAGCTAGATATGAAACCAGCAAGGGGCACAACTATGGGACACGCCATGGCAGCAGGGGACTTTATTGCAGTATACACGCCGCAAGTGCAGCAATGGAATCAACAACTAGGGGTGCACGATCACACGTATACTTGGTTGCAGTGCGACAGCATACTGGAGGAGGAGACGGAGACTGGAGGGCAGGTGGAGGACATCGGAATTGGGCTGTACGTAGACGATATATCCAGAGTACACATACATGCACATGAGGCGTCACCACGCGCAATGGAGCTCCAGCCAAACACGGCAACAGGCAAGCTGAGCACATGCATCGGGGCGACGGGGCACACACTCAACGAAAGCAAAACGAATCTCATCACGCACATCATAGGCAAGGGGTCGTTCGCAGCAGTTAAGACGCTTGCAGCATCCCGCTCGGTATCAGGCAGTATTGTCAGAGAGGCACGTGCATTGGGGCCTCTCCTCACGTTTGACGGCAGTTTGCGCGCAGAGCTTCGAGGGCGCATCCGCGCCGCTCGAGCTGGGTGGAGATCGCCGGGAAAGCTGTGGGCTGAACCGGTACCGCTCAGGATGAGGAGACTTCTTTTCATTGCGCACGTGCAGAGCGCAGGAATATCGGGGCTTACAGGCTTCGTACTGCCACGCAGCTTCACAGACAAGCTCGATGTGGTATTCCTCCGTTTCTTGCGCGTACTCAGCAGAGGGACTACAGAGGAGATAGACGGGAAGGTCAGAGGGGAGACTTACGCGCAAGTGTTCGCGCACCACAAGTTGTCGCGGACAGTGGTCGAGCTCAGGATCCAGCGGATCAGATGGTACCAAAAAATGGCGCAGCATCCCCAGAGACACTCCCAAGTTCTTGCAGGTATTTTTGGAAGCACTCGAATGGACCTCGCGGTAGATAGGCCTCGCATGGGAACAAATGAGGACCCCAGCGAACATAGCACTCCGTGGGCTCGACAAGTGTACTCCGACCTCGAGATTTTCGCGAAGGTCGATCCTGCTTCTAGGTTCGCTCAGGCTTGGAACTCGAGGGACGGGTTATTAGATTTCTTCAGGAAGGAGGAGTTTCGGAAGGTGTTCTTCGGGAAAAGGCCACAGCACATCAGGCACTTGTTTGACAGGCATTACGAGGCGGAGGAGAAGGAGGACAAATACAAAGGAGCGGAGTACATAGAGGGGGAGGAGGACGCGAACGAGTACATATGCACACACGAAACACCTGAAGGCCATGTACGTGGGAGCGTGTTCACGACGATGAGGGCCTCGACGGCCCACCTGGACAAGACGCACAAAATGAGAGAGCTTTACTCCATGCTCACGACGACGAACGCGTGTCCCTGGTGTCGGAGGATATTTGCGTCTCGGGCCAGTTGCATCAGACACGTGTGGGCCATGTCTCGGGCTAGCCCTCTTCGCTGCCCGACCAGAGCCGTTTCGTTCGAGCTTCAGCCGATCGAGGCGGCCAATTACTCTTGCGACCTGTGTAGTCCCAGCACCGAGCTCACAGCCCACCTCGATCACGCCCAGCAGCACGCCGCAGGCCCAGTACGCGATGTCGTGGATGATTGGACTGCCCGCCCAGGGGTCTCAAGGAGCAAACGCGGGAGGAGGGCCACGGCGAGGAGGCAGACAGCTCAAGCGTGCCCGCGGCAAGGGGGCTGGAGCTGGCTCAGACGAAGATGTGGATGCGACAGCGAACGAGAAGATTTTCACGCTGCAGAAGCGCACGCTCAACAACACACAGACGCTGAGGATCCTCATGGGAGCGCTGTGGGACTGCCTCATAGTCCCGATGGCGCACGCAGTGGCGTCCGAGGGCATGCGCATGGGGCAGGAGTACCACCGACTGAGCACCGAGGAGAAGCGCAAGGACCTGGGACCGCCTCACCTGCACATATTCGGGCGTATTATTCCCACGCTCGTGAAGATGCAGGGCTTGCCAGACGATACCAAGGCGATCCTCGAGCCATTCGCCAAGCTTATGACGAGCATGGATCGCGAGGAACTCAACGACCTTGTCCGCTACTTCCGCATCAAAAAGACCTACAACGAGGACAATCAGAAAGCGGACCAGGCCAGGATTCACGCGATGCTGAGCCCGCTCGCCATCAGTCCGTTCCACAGGCCTCAGCTGATCCAGCGATACAGGGACAAGACGGGCGATCAGGTCGAGATGCCGAACGCCACTATCGCAGAGATTCGGCTGCACGTGATCAAAGCACTGGTGGCCAGCGGCGGTGTGGTGAAAATAGGCAGTCCACCACCAGGAGCTCTGGGGCGTGCAGTTCAGGCATCAGCGCAGGAGCAATCGATGTAGACGGGCTTCGCAGGATGGCGCAGGCTGGAAGCGAGAGGGCCAGACAGTTGCTGAGAGACCTCAGGCGCCAGTCGAAGTGAGGCGGAGCCGACACCATCTAAAAAATGGCGCACGCCAGTGTCCAAATGGGCTGGCGTATTCCGTGGGCCGTCTGTGGAGGGAGGCCTCTCGCCTCTTCCTTGCGTTTTATTTCTTTATTTTCCCGCCCCTGCGGTTCGGGGTGCCCTTCGGGCTAGGGGCGGGGAAGTCAGTGTACTCACGCCGATGGAGAGAGAAGCGGTGAGAGATGAGTGCTCACCGACTGCTTCACAAAATGCAGAAGCAGCAAAGTTTTCTCAATCCAGTAGAGGCAGCAGATGCAGTAGCGTGCGCATTGCGTTTATCGAGGGTGGGTGGGAGTGAGGCGAGGGTGGGGGGGAGAATCGCAAATAGCACGAAGGCGCACCCAAACCCTCAGACGAGCGGCGGAGCTGGCACTCGCTCCTGTGTGTTTCTTTTTTCGCTTGCTTTCGGAGCCCTAGTCCCACGGGCCTCCCTCCGCGCCCTTCTGCCCTGAGGTTGAGGTGATGGGCCCAAGTGCTCTAAGCCTCAGCTCACAGAGTGTCGAATGCAGTGTGGTGCGCCTTCGTGCTAAAGCGGGCTTTGCAGGTCCAAGTTGGGCTATAAAGTCCCGCAGGCTTGCTCGAGATGCGCAATGAGGCAACCAGCAACGCTTGTCAGGCTTGAGGTCTCACGATGCAGAGGCCAGACAGTGTCAGACTCCAGTTGCCCAGGTCTTGCTTGCTTGCTCCTCCTCCTCCTCCTCCATCCTCTCTCCTCCCCATCCTCCTCCTCCTCCTCCCCTCCTCCCCTCCTCCTCCTCCTTCCCCTCCTCCTCCTTCTCCTCCTCCTCCTCCTCCCTCCTCCTTCTCCCCCTCCTCCTCCCCCTCCTCCTCCTCCTCCTCCCTCCTCCTCCTCCTCATCATCATCATCATCCGCCCTCCTCCTCCTCCTCCTCCTCCTCCATCCTCCATCCTCCTCCTTCTCCTCCTCCTTGCCCCCTCCTCCTCCTCCTCCTAAGCGCCAGCGGCGCTGAGAGCTGATAGTATCCCGCAGGTCGCGTAGCGCATCCGCATGAGTGCCCAAACGATTGCCTGCTATGCAAGCCGCGTCGAGCCGTTTGCTCGCCTGCTGCCAGCACGCCTGGCACTCCGCTCAATGAAGAGCCCGGCTGCTCTGGCGCCTCAGCCTCGAGCGCCCGCGCACCGTGCAGGAGGGGTGCGATTCCAGAAGACTCGCCCTCTTCCGCCTCGCTTCCGCTCTGTCTCTTACGCCCGCCCCGCCGCATCCGCTTTTCTCAAAATAGGGCCTTTGGCTAATTGAGTTACGATCTCTGCCGCGCAGAGCGAGAAAGCATTACCAGTGGTAATCTTCCATATCCCAAGAAGATGGATTGGGGCTCCTTCTCGTTTCAGTGGGCTGGTAAATGTCGGCGCCTCCGCAACCAGTGCCAGTGTGGCATTTACGATCATGATCTGTTTTACTTGGCGCCCTCCAGCTTCGAGTTGCACTTGCTCATGACCTGATTGCGTTGCTGAGAACAGTTGGCTGCGTGAACCGCATGTGATAGGTGCCGCGAGATTTACACATTTCACATTTGCGGGTTCCCCCCCCGCACACGCACATGTGTTCTGGGCGACTGCTTGCGCGAGAGAATTGCTAGCAAGAGCGGGGCCAAGCCGGCAAAGAGTAGAGACCCGTGTCTGAAAACACACGTCATAGCCCAGACCAGCCCCCTGTTCGTTTATCTTTTCCCTTTCTTACCCTTTGCTCTCCCTTTCTCTTTCGCGTGATGCCGCCGGCTTGGCCCGCGCCGGCTTGAGACAATTGGTTTCCGGTTGTTGGCCCGGTGCTGAAAAAAACACAAGTAAAATGTCCCGCAACAAGGCCCCTAGAGGCAAATCTCGACCCGCTCCATTCAGGACATGCGCATGTTTAGCATATGTTTCGCTGTTTTAGTCTCCGCCCCTTCCAAGACGACCGTACAGGCTCCCATCTCGGCCCAAGAGAGCCCCAGAACGACCCAGGAAGCCACCAAGGTAGCCCAACAAGGCCCCAAGAGAGCCCAAAGAGGGGGAACACGGACTGACCTCTCAAGCACTCCACCCCAAAATGACCCCCGAGAGTGCCAATTGGGTTCCAAGAGGCCACCACGAAACCCCAAGAGGCCCTCAGGAGGCCCGCGGCAGTCCCCAGAACGCCCCCCAAAAGACCACAAGAGGTTTCAAGACTGCTTCTGAGACGCCCCTGAGAGGCATCGTGCGCAATTGGCACGTTTGAGCTAATCGTATAATCGAATGTGTTAGTTCCACTGTGGATGCCCACGCAGGATCATGTCGAATACGTCTGAGACCGTACTCCACCCCTTCCCCTTTGCAATTGCACATTCGCGGCAAGGGGTAGGATCAGAAGTCCAAGGATGAGAAGGTTGACGCTGGAGAGGATGATGAGGATAACTCGAAACGGCAAGGAGTAGGATCAGAAGTCCAAGGAGGAGAAAGGTGACGCTGAAGAGGATCATGTGGATGACTCGAAGGAGGACGCCCACCCAGGTCCCGCCCGTCCCAGGCTATGATTTTGACGTTTGGTTTTTTGAGCTGGGAGGTCACGGCTGCCCCAGCGCTGGCTCCCAGGATTGGCTTCCAGGACAAGTTTGAAGTCGGGCATGTCCCTCTACAGCAGAAAGATTCAAACATTGGCAACAACAAACTCGTCTGGGCACGTTGTCTCTACTTTGTTTGACGATTTGGGTGCTTGTTTTACTCGTTGTTCCAAGTTTCCCCAAAATCTCCGCCTGCAGGCGGCCATGCCCGACCTAAAATAAGTTCAAGGCGGCCCAAGAGGGCCCCGAGGCGGCCCAAGAGGCCCCCAGGAAGAGGAGGAGGAGGAGGTGGAGGAGGAGGAGGAATGGAGGAGGAGGAATGGAGGAGGATTGTCTCGGATGTATCCTTAGTCAGCGGGTCGTGCACTCGCACCTCAGCCCCTAGGGGGGCGGGGTCTGGCCGATGCGGGTGTCCGCCGCGCAGACTAAAGCTGGGGGATGACGGATAGCCACGATACTGAGGTGCTTAGTGAGGAACACCCGTCGATGTTCCACCTCTTTATCGATTTCGCTGGCCGCCACCGCCTCCTCACCCCATGCCCCAAAGTGATCCTGTCGAATCGGGGCTCCTACGGGGTGGCATCCCATATTGGGGGGGCGAACTTGCCGCAGCAGTGGTCCGCAATTTGACTCCTGGCGCGCACTGCCCAGCGGTTCCCCTCCGGGGAGGAAGCGGATCCCAAGGTGGGCCCGACTGCTTCCCCGCCGCTGAATTCAGGGGCTCTTGCACTTAGCGCAGGGACCCTGGCAGGTCGAGTAGACGCTGGGAGCTGTAGCCCGGGCGCAGGTGTGGCAAAGCGGCAGGGGCCCCAGCCCATGCAGGCAGCCTGCGATGCTTGCGTGCTGAGTGCCACTTCGGGGGGGACCCCCTTGTGAAGATGGCTGCCTCTCTGCACATACTAGCACCTGTGCCGCGCGATAGCGGCACAAACGGGGCGTCGCTCCATCGGGGTGACTTCCCCCTGCGAGGTTGGATGCCGTGAGCATTCCAGTCGCATGTTGATGCCAGTGGCCCGCGTAACGGTCTGGACGGCCGTAGTTTTTAGCAAGACCGCGAAATCGACATGAAACCGGCTCTCTGGGTTGCCATCCCCGCTTGGCGATGGCCCCAGGATGCCACAACAAAGTGTGTTTTTTTTTGTTTCTGCTTGGTCAGGGCAGCAGGACGAGTGGCAGCAGAAGCATGGTAGAGTTAGCGTCTTGCGAGCATGGTTTAGGAAATCCAAGGCAGAGGGCTTCCGACATAGAGGCGTCACTCACAGAGGGAACGAGCTGCGGAGGAGGAGGGGGGAAAAGTAACAGACGCTTCATGCACATCTCACCCCTAAGGAGGGGCAAACATTTACACTGAATTATCTTGATAATTCTGTGTTGCAAATTATGGGTACCTCGCATGGGTACATCGCACGTGCACGCGTCATTGCACTCGCTCGGAATCTCTCGAAACTCACCCCTTCTACAGTCACACAATATGGTTGGCTTGCTGATCCGGTCGAATCAGCGGGCCAGGGGCTACCGCGAACTTGCTATGCAGTGGTCCGTAGTCCCTGTCCCTAACAGCCTTGCTGCGCGGGTAACTCTTGTGGGGCCGAAGCCCCAGCTCTAGGAGACGTCATGTCTCTTCACGTACAACAAACATCATGGATACATCCCGTACGAAACGATCGTACGACTACCATGCATCAGTCTTCGGCTCCCGAACTCTGATCCCGATCATCGGAAGAAAAATACAACGTACAATGAATGGCGTTAGACACGGCCTAGCAAAGCCTTGCCCCGGAGCCCGAAAACGGGCAGGAAGCGCAAGTATCTCTACACCCCGTGCTTCGACTAGGGACCGCCAGCGGTCCGCGACAGCCAGTTCCCCCGTTTTTGGGGGATGCCAGCCCGTCGGCTTTCGAAGGGCTCTGACCTACAAGCAACCGCAACCTCAACAGCAAGCGGTTGCATTTGAGACGGGATTTATCCCTCACCTCACGCTCGCACTCCAGTGCCGGGTCAGAAGAACGACACGCTCAGGGAGCTCAGGGGAGTGTTCTCCTAAGCAGTGGCGGGAAATCGCCCGCGCACCGACTCCGTGACATTTGTGTTGTCGAGCATGGCTGAATGGCGTTAGACACGGCCTAGCAAGGCCTTGCCCCGGAGCCCGAAAACGGGCAGGAAGCGCAATTATCTTTACACCCCGTGCTTCGACTAGGGACCGCCATCGGTCCGCGACAGCCAGTTCCCCCGTTTTTGGGGGATGCCAGCCCGTCGGCTTTCGATGGGCTCTGACCTCCAAGCAACCGCAACCTCAACAGCAAGCGGTTGCATTTGAGACGGGATTTATTCCTCACCTGACGCTCGCACTCCAGTGCCGGGTCAGAAGAACGACACGCTCAGGGAGCTCAGGAGAGTGTTCTCCTAAGCAGTGGCGGGAAATCGCCCGCGCACCGACTCCGTGACATTTGTGTTGTCGTGCATGGCGGGCAAACGGGAACAACCTAAGATTGACATCCCTATTTTCGGTGTACTGGCCTATCCGTGGTTTTAGGCTCTGCTATGCCCGATCGTGCTTCACATACTCGCGCACTGCCTCGAGAGCTGCAACAGCGGCAGGCGGATATAGCGATGTGCATGACGATGGCTGCGCGCGCGGCAGCTGGCAGGCTGATCCAGTCGAATCAGCGGGTCGGGGGCTACTGTGAACTTGCTACGCAGTGGTCCTTAGTCCCCGACCCTTTAGGCAATGTGCGTGAGGTGGCAGCATACTGACTGGGAAGGGGAAGCTGATCCGGGCGAATCAGCGGGCCAGGGGCTACCGCGAACTTGCTGTGCAGTGGTTCGTAGTCCCCGACCCGTAGGCTATGCAGCGGCAAGCAGTGAGCATGGTACACAGATTGGCCACCTGCGTGGTGGTTGCTGCAGCGAGCTGCTCAACTACGTGTGACCTGGTCGCTCCTGTCGAAACGACCGGCTGTGTTACATGCGAACTTCGTGAGTCCGTAGCTCTTTGCCTCCATAACCCAAATTCTGATCCCGATCATCGGAATAAAATCTGGATCCCCGGGCCCAGCCTCGAGCCATGGCAGGCTCCTTTCGTGGATTCGCTGGCCGAATTAAGCCTTTGTCGCCCCGACCCCCACTCCCTGGCCCTCGTGGTCGGGGTGCTCGTCGAACCCCAGCAGGGATCCTTAAAGGCTGCCCCGTGCGTCCCCAACCACATCGAGAACCAAGAAGTCTGGGGGGTCATTGGCACGGGGAGGAATGGAGAAGGAGGAGGAGGAGGAGGAGGAGGAGGAGGAGGAGGAGGAAGAGGAGGAGGAAGGAGGGAGGAGGATGAGGGGAGGAGGGGAGGAGGAGGAGAGAGGGAGGAGGGGGAGGATGGGGAGGAGGGGAGGAAAGGAGGAGGAGGAAGGGAGGAAAGAAGGAAGAGGAGGAGGAGGAGGTGGCCCACGAGGGCCCCCCAGGAGGGGGCCCAGGGCCGCCACCAGAGTGGCCCCCCACGGGCCGGGGATGGGGTCGGCTTCCTCCACTCGGCCCCCCCCACCGCCTCCGTTTCCTCCCCTCCTACTCCTCCTCCTCCTCCTCCGCCCCTCCTCCTCCTCCCGCCTCCACTCCCTCCTCATCCGCCCTCCCTCCTCCTCCTCCTCCTCCTCCTCCCCCTCCTCCTCTTCCTCCACGTTCATACGCCATGGGATATTGCCAGGGGCCCCCGCAGACCCCGAAACGGCGCCCAGCAGGGGGCTGGAGGCTCCCCAAGAGTCCTCAGGGAACTTCGTCCAAAACCGTGATCCTCCCCGGCCTTCGATCATTCCCTCCTCTTCCCTCCCTCCCCCATCCCACGCCCCTCCCCTCCTGCCTCCAAATCTTTTCTGGGGGCATGAGTAATCGAGACTGAGGCGCCCGTTCGGGACCATTCGGGCCGGGAGGAGGCCAGGATTGCTTCACCTGCGTTTCTTCACAGCGCAATGGATTGCGCTAGAATATAAGCGCGCGTGGTTCTAGCACTGAAAGACATCAGTGCCGTCCAGAGCAATTGCGACGAGAACGCGAGAGATGCCTATGATTTCCCTTCGAGCTTGGGACCTCCTTGGAGCTGCCTTGGTCTACCTTGGGGCCGCCTTCGGGCCTCCTGATCCGGGCATCTTTGGGAAGCTTTGAAGCAGTTCGGGCCAGTTCA